CAATTTTTAAATCGCTCTAATTAGTAGTGTTCTACTTTATCGGCTGAAACTGACAGGTGTAGTTCAACCGTAAGCGCTTAGCGCGCTACTGTCGAGGTCAAGCAAACTTGTTACCAACTATTTACATGGAATCCAACCCCCGTGATTTAACTGATTTTTTGCTGATAAGTATTTCTTATGGCACCAAAAACATTTGCTCAGTAAAATTTTAAGGTAAAGTGGGGTAAGTGCGGTCACGTTTCTTGATAGTATAAAATATTTTTATCATAGAATCTAAACGGATACCTTAGAAGTGCCGCACTATTTTTTTAGATCTCTTATGATACTACCATTATAGAAAAAATTAGAAATTAATAAAGATAAAGGTTTATAAGATTATCTAGTTTTTTTTATGTTGTTTAGTCGGTGATTGCACTTTCCCATAAAAATGGAGAAAGTGCAATCAACGATTATTTTTGCCTTTGAAATGCATACAGATTAACAGGGGTTAGTGTAATCAATTTAAGAACGATTATTTTAAGCGCAAAAAATGATATTTTATTTTAAATCAAAATAATTATGGCATTAACAACCTTTTTGCGGATAATTTGGAACTGGACCGTCTCGCTTCAATACACTGCAGCGTTGCCGGATTGAGGCATTAACTTACGGATGGCATACGTTTGTGGTTGGAGATCGCCGGGTGGACTTTATTGAACTTATAGTCGCACATTTGATAAAGATTGCAGTTACCCCGAAATTGCACTTACCCCACTTTACCTTATAAAAAAATAAAAAATTATTAAAATTAAATTAAAATGAAGAATACCCACCTTTGAGTGTGAATTTCTCGAAAAACTAATCAATTTATGAGTTCCCAAATAGAATATATGATTTATTTAAAAACCATCAGAGAATGGAAAAGTATAGTCCAAATAAGTTTTTGGACATTGGCGTAAAATTTGGAGGAGATGAAGGTATCACTTATTCATGCCGTACGCCACTGGCTAGTTTTATTTAACTGATTGTTTGCTGTTGGATGTATCCTATTACACCAAAAATATTTACCTAATTCAGTAAAATTATACTGAGAAATAAAAAAATTGTAGAAATTAAAAAAAAATCAACCTTTTTTTGGCATAGGCAAATTGCCATTCATTCAGACAATAAAAATTTTCAACAAACCAGTAATATTTTATCTAAGTATGTTTCGTTTAATCGTCTTATTTTTAATCAGGAAATCTTGTTCAGTGTCCCACATTCTTAATGAGACACCGCGTATATTTGAAACCTTTTTTGAACGTGGTCGTACATTCGAACCAAGCCACAGAATTATGTTACGTGTCACCCATCTAAAATTCTTTATATTTCGTTTCAAATAACATCGAAAAAATTTAGAAGATATTTTGTTTAAAAGTTTAATCCTTTAGATCTGAACAGCGTGAACTTCGGTGCCAGATTGTAGGGACTTTTGTTAAAAAAATTTAATATCTAGCTAATAAAAGTGATAAATCGATTAAAACCTCTTTTGCAGTTTTTTAAAGATTGAAAGTATAATTGTTAAATATAGAGTTGGTAAATACTCAAAATCAAAGGATAGTTAATCTCATGTATTTTTTTTTAATTGGTCAACAAATAGGGCAAGTGAACAAACCACCCTTGGGATTAAAAATGACATTTTAATCCTTCGCTTAAGGTTACAGTCGTGTTAAAAATAGTAACTATATCGAATTTCGTTCTAATTTTTAGACTACAAAAAACCAATTGGGAATAAAAATTAGAGAAAATCCAAATTAATCTATTTTTGACTACTTTTAGTCCCATTAACACGCACTGTGGCAAAGAGCTCTTGCGTGTTGTATTCTAATAAACTATCATTAAGATCTAATATTACTTTCATGTTACTTTCACTAGTATGGAATTTTAAGGCTTCCAGAAACCTTCCAACGTTAAACGTTATTTTTTCGCAATTTTTATTGGAATCTACACGTTTTGTAAGAAAGTCAACAAGTACTAAAGTATTTTATAAAAAATATTTCGTAAAAATGTTCGGAATGTAATGTTTAAAATAATACGAGGGTTGCTTTTTATATTTCGGGATTAGAGAACAAAAACAAATATTAATCGTTAAAAATCGCTTTATTGTTTTTCAAAATATTCTCCATGAAGATCTATACACTTCTGCATGTGTTTGAACCAATTGTCGAAGCACGGTTGCCACTCTGAGGTATTTCCAAAACATGCATTGTGAACGCTTCAACCGCACTTCTTCAGGTGTCAAAATACTTTGACCTCTCAGTTTATTTTTTACGTACGGGAATAAAAAAAGTCATTCGGTGCCAAGTCAGGACTATAAAGTGGATGACTCATCACATCGATGTTTTGAGTGCTCAAAAATGCAGTTGTTTGAGCCAATGTGTGAGAGCTCGCATTGTCGTGGTGACGAGTGATTCGTCTTGGGCGGTTGGATTTCCTTATTTCATGGAAGACAACTGGCAAACAAATGGTTGTGTACCACTCAGAATTGACTGCTCTGCGTTGTTCTAGTGGTACGGTTGCGACATGTCCAGTTTTTCCGAAATAACAGGTGACCATTTGCTTGGAAATGCTTCGTGCGCGAACAACTTTTGTTGGATTTGGCTCATCTTGAAACACCCATACAGTCGACTGCTGTTTACTTTCGGGCTCATACGCGACCAATCGACACAAACCTTTTTTTGAATGATTGACAAATTGTGTGGGATCCAACGCGAACAAATTTTTTTGACAGTCAAATGTTCATGCAATATTGAATGTATGCTGGTCCCACTAATGCCTCACGATAGGACACATGACGCTCTTTCAATATCAATTCGCGCACAGCATCAATGGTTTCCAGAACAACAACTGATTTTAGACGACCTTCACGAAATTCGTCTTGGAGCGAACTATTACCTCGATTAAATTCACCATACCATTGATAAACACTGGTCCTTAATGGAGCTTCATCGCCAAAAATTGAATTAAGTTCATTGATGCACTGTTGCGGAGTTAATCCACGTCGAAAGTTGTAAAAAATATTCGCACGAAAATGTTCACGATTTAGTTCCATTTTTTGGCCGAGATGAATCTTTTAAGTTACTGTAAACAACATAAATAGCGCTCGTATGTCAAAACGTTCTGAGTACGCATAACCTCAAAAATGTCAAACTTTACGACAAAGCTGTCAGTTGCCAGTTTGCAACACTAGGGTTGTCCAATCCCGAAATATAAAAGGCAACCCTCGTATACGGTTGCTAATAAGTATAAGGAACCAAAAATATAAATTTTAAATCAGCTTCTCAAAACAAATCAAAATGGCGCTGTGGATAAACATTTTCAGTACTTATCAACAACAATGTACAGTTCGCTATACTTACGCTGGTTTCGGATTAAAAATTTTATGAGTATTTCCAGGTAGGTACCCGAAAGTTTGACCTGTTCTTTGGGGAAATATCAACTGATTAAATGAAATGAAAAATAATGGACAACTTTTTAATTAAATAATAATGGAGAATCTTTTGTATAATTGAGAGCAAAATTAAACTTCTTCATTAATGGAGTCTAATATGGCTATTATAAACCTAATAATAATTTTATATTACACTTCACACAGAAAATATGGTCTATGTATAATAAGAGTACCCACCCTAATGTTATTTTAATTTAAATCTGACCATTAGGCAATTTTACCTAATTTCTCGGGAAGAAGCTTATTGGAACTGGTTGTCAATGACTAATTTGCATAATTTTGTTAATCCGAAACCCGCGTAAGTATAGCGAACAGACTTGTATGTTAGAATCGTTACTCTAGAAATTCCTTTCGATAGGTATTTTATAAAGTAATGCACTTGAAGATTCAAATTACTGGTGTTCAATTAAAAATGGCCTAAACCTATGATATACCTTTTTAAAAATCTTCTAAACCTTTGGTGTTCAAGAAACGGTTTTGTATACTGACTTTAGTGAGGCGATCGGCAAACACTGTCACAAATCTGGAATCTGACTATTAAAAGAGTCAATTTCCATTTTTAGTTTTTTCAGTTATTAACAATTTATAAAGTATGGCGGTGTCTTCATATGCTGCGTTTGAATATCCACACCGGATCCATCTGAGATGTTGTGAATTACTTATCACGTGATAGAGGATTAGATCTGAATATAGATGTAATAAACAAACGCTCTAAACTTTATTGATCACTTGATAAAATGACAATGACAAGTTAGGAGTTTATATTTTCTTTAAATTTGACTTTTGAGACTGAAAATCAACCTAAATTTATGTTCTAAAAAAAAAAATTAAACACACTAAACACTTTTATATTCATGCTAGCATAAATAGAGGACAAATTAATAATCTTAGCTTCACAGAACACCTACTTTCTGGCATGGAACGAACATCTTATTCACATCTCATTTCAAATCGAGATGAAAAAAATGGAATCTGGACAGCTACATCTCGGATAAACAAATGCAGATGTAGATATGTGGATAAACAAACGCTTGAGATGTAAAAAATGCATCGGATGTGGATATTCAAACGCGGCAATAGTCAACAATTTTTGACTGAGACAAACATGTAAACTTCATCTATTACATTATTTCGCGTATACTAGTTTCAAATTTACATAGAACACTTTTAGTTTTGAGGTATTATGTTGTTAAAACTTCAATTTTAAATATATTTAATTATTTCAAAAACAAAAATTGAGAGATTAGCGTTTTAATACATCAAAGATGATTTGAGTCGTATACTAATCGTCTACTCTACATCAATGGTTTCAAAGTTCTGAAACGCTTGAATCCATATCAGGAGTCACACAAGGATCACTTCTCGAACTGTTACACTTGTTATTATTCATTCATGAGGTCCTTACTTTTTAATTTTTTGTTATAAGCAAATGACCTATTTTTTCGTCTACATTGATTGTGAATGTTCAACCAAATTAAATAAGCTATTTTTATGGAATTACTTTATTAAACATAATTTTCGTTTGTTTTAGTTTATCCCTTCAAAGAAGGGCTCTCGACGATGTCACAACTCAGGTAAATCCTGCTTTGGCGACACCGAAGAAAAAAATACATATAACCGGAATCCGGTTGGAGAAAGCTTACAAAGAACCTGATTACGACGCGAATGGTGTACCTGAAGTACTCGCTTACAACGATCACACGTTTCGGGTGTTCGGAGAAGGATTTACCCCCTCCATGTTGATCACATTCACCGCTAAGACGGGAGATTGTTTGTTGCCCATCAGCAATGTTTTTCACGTAAGTGCCATATTTTTTTACACTCTCTAGAGTCATCACTTTCAAATTTGAAGCCTGATACTAGTGAAGTTTCTCTTTCAGGTCGACAACACCAGTTTTTCCGAAAACACATTTAGAGTAAAAATAAATCTACCTCCTCTCTCGGCCAACGATGAAACGTACCACATTTGCGCCAAAGATGGAAACGACGAACCTGGTAATCCCAAAGTATTCGTGCTTCAAGGTACCGACTATTGGTATCAAGTGAAGGCGCACGACAAACCTATACCGCTATGGGGTTCCATCATTATCATTTTAGCTTGTTTGACCTTTTCCGCCCTATTTTCTGGATTGAATTTGGGTCTGATGTCGTTGGATAAGACCGATTTGAAGATTTTGAGTAATATTGGTGAGTGGAATTTTAATTGTGATCAGTGTTGTTCCTGGGCACAAAAGTGGCATAATTTTATATCATATTCGTGCCATACTGCTCAAGCTATCTCCACCTTTATTTTTACTCATGGTAGTTGACAAACTGAAGCAGATTTGATTGCTTTTTTCCTATCGTAGGTTCGCGGGCTGAAAAGAGGTACGCACAAGCCATCCAACCGGTCAGAAACCATGGTAACTACTTGTTGTGTTCCATTTTGCTTGGTAATGTCTTCGTTAATTCGATTTTCACTATTTTCTTGGACGATCTTACATCCGGATTCGTAGCTGTTATCTTTTCGACGTTGTCCATCGTATTGATTGGTGAAATTGCTCCACAGGTTAGTACCAATAACGTCGTTTTATAAAATAGATACAGTCGTAATTTTATAATGAACAGATACTGTCGTCGTTTTATAAAATATATACACTCGTAGAATTATAAAATAGATATACCCGACTTTTTTTTAAATAGATTTACAAAATATATACAATTGTCATTTTACAAAATAGACAATATCTTCTTATAAAATACATTACTCTTAATTTTTTTAAATACGGAGATACGTTAGTCATTTTATAAAATAGATTCATTCATCATTTTATAAAATAGATACACTGATTATCTTATGAAATAAATACAATTGTCATTTTACAAAATATATACAATTGTCATTTTATAAAATAGATACACTCGTCATTTTGTAAAATAGATTCTATAGTCATATTACAAAATAGTGATATGGAAACCTCCGATTTCCAATCAAATAATAAATCTCAACTTCGGGGTGGGTTCAAAGACCTACAACATTGCATGAAATTATTAAAAAAAAAATTATTTCCTATTTTCTTCACTCTTCTTGCTCACAGTTCACCTATGTCTACCTATATCGTCTATGCCTGTCTCTGCCGTCTCTATCTGTTTGCTTGTCTCTATCTGTATGCTTATCTCTACCTGTGTTATATTCTCTACCGTCTCTGTTTATCTCTGATTTCTATTTTATTTCTCTCTACTTTCTGATTTTATAAATAAAATTTTCTACTTTTCTCCCTTATTTCATGTATCCAAACATTATTACAACTCAATAACTAACAATAATTATTTTATCTATAACTTTACATTAGCATTTAATATCCTTCCTTTGACTTCTTAAAATTCCCATCTGACATTTTATTTTTCCGCTGACAATCATATCAATTTTTTAAAAACAAAAACCTCCCTCTCAACTACTAATACATTCTAAAATTTTCTATACCCCACCTCGATATTGCTTTCTCCAATTTTATGACGTCATCTAGAAATTACCAAATTAATTGATACACTCTTCATTTTATAAAATAGATCCACTTGTTATCTTATAAAATAGATCAGCTCGTCATTTTATTATATAGATACATTTATAATTTTATAAAATAGATATAATTATTGTCATTTCACAAAATAAATATACTAGTCATTTAATAAAATGGATACAATTGTCATTTCACAAAATAGATAGACTAGTCATTTTATAAACCAGATACAAAGGCTATTTCATAAAATAGATACACTAGTGATTTTATAAAACAGTTATTGTCATTTTAAAAAATAGATACATTCGTCATTTTGTAAAATGTAGTGTAGTAAAAATAAAAAAAATTAAAACCTAAAATATTAAAAGATTAATTTAATGTGTCTCTGATATATTTAAATATGTTATATTAATTATTAATTTTTTAGAAACTTACCACAAAAAAGTATTTATAAAACTTTTGTGGATATTTTTATGTTCATTAATCTAATAATTGTATGTATGTATTTTACTTCGTATATTTTTGTTATGAATAAACATTACTATAGATACAATTGTCATTTTACAAAACAGACACATTCGTCATTTTATAAAATATATACACTGGTTACCTTATAAAATAGATACATTTGTCATTATACAAAATAGTTACTCTTCATTTTATAAAATAGATACATTCGTCAATTTATAAAAAATATATAACTGCCATTTTACAAAATAGATATGCCCGTCATTTTATAAAATAAATACAACTGTCATTTTACAAAATAGATACACTGGTTTTCTTATAAAATGGATAAATTCGTCATTTTATAAAATATATACATTTGTCTCTTTATAATATAGATACAATTGAAATTATACAAAATAGATACACTCTTTATTTTAAAAAGTAGATACTATAGTCATTTCATAATATTAAAAAAACTAACTGTTGAGTTAAAATAACTCCTTTTCAATGGGAATTTTATGTTCAGAGTTTCAGAATTTGGTGTAAAATATATACATTCGTCATTTTATAAAATAGATAATACTGTTATTTTACAAAATAGATACATTAGTCATCTTATAAAATAGATATAATTGTCATTTTACAAAATAGGTACAATCGTCATTTTATAAAATAGATGCAATTGTACTTTTATAAAATAGAAACGCTTGTTATTTTATAAAATAGATACGACTGTCATTTTACAAAATAGATACATTGGTCATCTTATGAAATAGATACATTAGTCATCTTATAATATATATATATATATATATATATATATATATATATATATATATATATATATATATATATATATATATATCTACAAAGTATTACTGAGCCTCCCCCCATGTTAAATTTCAGGTTCACTGAGACTCCGCTGTTACTGGGCTTCCGATATACGGATCCCCAGTGACAACCCATTGAAAATTGTTCCAGATGATGTAGACACCCTAAAACACCCATTAACACAAAAATCTCGAGGACGCCCATTTGAGCCGTTTTTTGATCCTGTATAAAATATTAGTTCAGGCGTTCGCCGCTTGGTGCGCTGCTAATATACATTTCGCTGTGTATAAGATGTTTAATGTTACATGTCAACTGGGCGCCTTAAGCTATTCGCTGCGCGCTTTTGGTTTGGCAACGTTGCAGTTGATTATATATACGTACTAGGAGGCTTGGTAGTTTTGTCTCTCGACTCGGGTCAGTCTAAAAATTAAAATGAACTATTTTCGATCTTGAACGCGACAAGTACTACAGAGCGCCGTAGAAAATAAAATGCCACAATAAACATTTTTGTTTTAGAAAATGTTTAATAATTTTTTGGTTGATATTATTTAAAAAATAAGGTTAGCACCTTGATTAGTACGTATATTTAGGCATTATTATAAAAGTAAATAAAAAGAAAATTCCAACTCAAATGTGATATATGACCAAGACGTAAAATAAAATAAGTAAACTTTTTATTTTAATTTAGTTTATTTTCTCATAATTCAATATATCTTGTAATCATCTTGTAATGACGTCAATGACAGTATTTTATAAATAGAACACCCTATATTTTTACCAATTTTACAAGAACAAGTTACGTATTGTATCAGGGATCCTTACTGGGCATTGCCCACTAAAAGGACACCTTAAGTAAACTAAGAGTAGTAGAATATAGTGAGCAGATTCTGTGAAGAGGAAGACAAAACCTCCATTCACATTCTGACAATGTGTAGCACTCCAAAATCCAAGGACACTATACATAAGAGCATATTAAATAGAAGAGTGATATTTACCTAACTTGAAGCCACTCAAGGAAGATATGATTGGAAGGATCGTTGTAGGCATTGCGACATTTCCTTGCTGCATTAGCGACAAAAGGGGTACAATAAATATTTTACGTCGTAGTGTTTTAGCACCCCATTCCCAACATAACACACAAATTTTTAAGCTTCCTTTTATTATGCTGATTTCAATTGTATCACCACTTGCTTCAAATTAATACAAAGAATTGTTTAAATTAGGTCGATTTTTATTCTAAGGCTGGCACATTTTTATCACGTCCTAAACTGACACACAACATTCCCCTCTCCTCCTTCCCACTACTAACCAATACAATTTAAATAGAAAACGTACTAAGTATTACACATCAACGCAAATGTAATTTAATGAATAATTTTTAGAAATGTGACTGTTTATAGTGTTACTTTTGATTTTAGCGCCCTTTAGCACGATAAAAAAGTGGTACATATTGTTAAGTGTGACAGCTCATTTGAAAGCTTATTATAATAGTAATTTAATGTGCAGCATAATTTTGTTAATTTGGTTTATTGGGATTTTCATTACATTTATTTATTCTTAACCTTAATGGCAACAATCTATTTAAGTTCATGTTCCTTCGAATTGTTTTGTTACGTTGTCCTATAAATCATTAAAATTGACTTTCCACTGAAGTGTCGTATTGTGGATTATTCATTTTCATACATCCAAAATTAAAATATACCATTTCGAACTTTTCGTGTGGAATATAGAGATTTAAATAAATATAAGTATGCTTACATCCTTGAGACTTATTGCGATATGAGCTGTGCAGCGCACTACCTATTCAATGGCCTGACTCACGGTATGTACGACTTCCACCTCACTCCAACTTAAGTTAGTCCCTAATGGATTTCGCTTATATGGTCCGCGTTTAGATTTTTGAAGATGTATACGGTACGACTAGGCCTCCAGCTGTGTTAATTTTCAGGTTCACATAGCCTCTGCTCTCGATTATACAATGCGGATCTAAAGTCCCTCCACCTCCTATTTATTTTTTGATCCGTCATGAGATATGAATTCATAAAAATCTTTGATTTTAAACGAGAATAATACAGTGCCAAAGGTTAAATATTTGTGGTACACCTGTTGATAGCATTGAACATTTAAAACAAAGAATTCATTATGAGTAAAAAGAAAAAATATTTTAGTTATATTGATATCACTGGAAAGGGTTTCAAATAATATATCACTTGCCATAACGGCTCCCGTCTGCCATTTTTAATGATTACGTCACCTAATATAATTAAAAAGGTAGTGTACATTCCTTGGTTTAGTTTCCCAAAATTTCAAATAAAAAAAAAATATATATATTCAGGTTTAAAGATACTAAATGGGGCAGTATACAAGTTTGTAATACGTACACAAAAATAAATAAATATTTTTTAATGAAACTGTGGTTCTTTGTATATTAAGGTACTATAAGATATGTTCCTAATATACACTATATCTAGCGCTATATCTATAGAGTGTGACTGGGCCTCCAGCCTTGCTAGTTTTCAGGTTTATTGAGACTCCGCTATCAATTATATACGGATTCTACAGCAGAGTCTCAGTTAACCTAAAATGATTCATTTTTACTTTCCTATCTGTATACAGATATAAGGAAAGTAGAGGAATCATGATTTTTTTTGACCTCGAGTTTTCGACGGATTTTTACGTTTTGAGGTCCCCTGAATCCGTTTTGACTATTTTTGCGATGATGTCTGTGTGTGTGTGTGTGTGTGTGTGTGTGTGTGTGTGTGTGTGT